TTTTTTTTTTTTTTTTTTTTTTTTTTTAAGACAGAGTCTCGCCGGGCGCGGTGGCTCAAGCCTGTAATCCCAGCACTTTGGGAGGCCGAGGCGGGTGGATCACGAGGTCAAGAGATCGAGACCACCCTGGTCAACATGGTGAAACCCCGTCTCTACTAAAAGTACAAAAAAAATTAGCTGGGCATGGTGGCGCGTGCCTGTAATCCCAGCTACTCAGGAGGCTGAGGCAGGAGAATTGCCTGAACCCAGGAGGCGGAGGTTGCGGTGAGCCGAGATCGTGCCATTGCACTCCAGCCTGGGTAACATGAGTGAAACTCCGTCTCAAAAAAAAAAAAAAAAAAAAAAAAAAGAGTCTCACTCTGTTACCCAGGCTGGAGTGCAGTGGCTCGATCTCAGCTCAGTGCAACCTCTGTCTCCCAGGTTCATGCTATTCTCCTGCCTCAGCCTCCTGGGAATACAGGTGCCTGCTCCCAAGCCTGGGTAATTTATGGATTTTTAGTAGATATGTGGTTTCACTATGTTGGCCAGGCTGGTCTCAAACTCTTGACCTCAAGTGATCCTCCTGCCTTGGCCTCCCAAAGTGCTGAGATTGCAGGCATGAGACACTGTGCCCCACGAGGGGAAGTATTACCGATAAAGATTGCTTGTGCCTATGGAAATTAATTGTTTTGATGAAAATTGTTATTCCCTCTTGTTTATGACTAATTCTTCTTTTGGGGGAACTTTTAGATGAGGACCTTGAGATTGAATTGGTTGAAGAAGAGCCTCCATTCCTGAGAGGGCACACTAAGCAAAGCATGGACATGAGCCCCATTAAAATCGTCAAGGTGAGAATTGCTGGACCTTTAATCTGGAAATGTCAAGTGGACTTCTTTTTCTAAAGTAACGGGTCAGGTTATTAGATCTGCATAAGTAGAACTTGGGCCGCAGAAAGTCTTATTGGCTGTCAGCCAGGGTCTAGAATAGTTTTGTTTTAAATGGAGGTTGGGTTGGCTTTATTGCTTTTGCCTGTTTAATTCTTTTGTGCTCCTTTTGTGTGTTTTGGGTGGAAGCAGAGATAGACAGAATGCTTAATCTACCATCCTTGCCTTTGCCTGGGTTCCTTAGGGCTTCAGTGTTGCAGATTGAAAGGCAATTTTGAAGGATTTACTTGAGCAGTTGGGACTGGCCAGCATAGAAAGCTGTAGCATTGGGTGTTGGGGAGGGCAGAGCTGTGAGGGGAATGTGAACTCGAATCCATAGAACAGTAAACATTTTAGGTATGGAAAAGGGTGTATTAAAGGTCTCCCTGCCCAGCACATATGTAATGCTTATAATCCATGCGTATACTTCTTCTGCAGTGTTCTTTTTATGTGGTCATCTCATTGCTGCATGACATTGTTAGTGACAGGGAATTCACCAGCCCTTCAGGAGGTACATTTCATCATTAGATGGATCTGATCCGTAGTTCTTCTTTAGGCTGACCTAAAACCTCACTCACTAAAGCGTCCACATTGGTCTTGATTTTGGATCCCGGGGTCATATAGAAAAATTCTGATCCCTTTCTTACGTCCTTCGTACATTTAAAGGTAGCACATCATTCCTATCTCATCTTGAAACTAAACATCCAATGCCTTCAATGATTTATCATTGTCCTTGTTCATTTTGTCTGAATATGCTACAGTTTATCCATTTCTTTCATATAGCCTGTTACATTGGTAGGAACTTTATTCCAGGTGTGGTCTCATGTTTTAGGTTACAGGGGCTTAACATCTACATTTTATTTCCTGGACATTTAATTCATGTTGATTTTTCTTCTGTTGTATCAGAACCCAGATGGTTCCCTCTCCCAAGCAGCAATGATGCAAAGTGCCTTGGCCAAAGAAAGGCGGGAACTCAAGCAGGCCCAGCGGGAAGCTGAGATGGATTCTATTCCCATGGGGCTCAACAAACACTGGGTTGACCCTCTGCCTGATGGTAGGACCCTTGGAGGGGTGTATGGACCTTGTTTAAAAATATCAGCCTTGGCCGGGCGCGGTGGCTCACACCTGTAATCCCAGTACTTTGAGAGGCCAAGGCGGGTGGATCACGAGGTCAAGAGATTGAGACCATCCTGGTCAACATGGTGAAACCCCGTCTCTACTAAAAATACAAAAAATCAGCTGGGCATGGTGGCACATGCCTGTAATCCCAGCTACTCAGGAGGCTGAGGCAGGAGAATTGCCTGAACCCAAGACGCGGGGATTGCACTGAGCCGAGATTGCGCCATTGCACTCCAGCCTGGGTAACGAGTGAAACTCTGTCTCAAAAAAAAAAAAAAAAAAAAAAAATATCAGCCTTCCAGATCACAGGGAGGGGGCACTCCCAGCACACACTAAAAATTCACCCTTGGGCCAGCGTAGTGGCTCACGCCTGTAATCCCAGCACTTTGAGGGGCCAAGGCAGGTGGATCACCTGAGGTCAGGAATTTGAGACCAGCCTGGCCAACATGGTGAAACCCCATCTCTAGTAAAAAAAATACAAAAGTTAGCCAGGTGTGGTGGCACACACTTGTAATCCCAGCTACTCGGGAGGCGGAGGCAGGAGAATTGTTTGAACCCAGCAGACAGAGGTTGCATGAGCCAAGATCAGGCCACTGCATTCCAGTCTGTGTGATAGAATGAGACTCTGTCTCTAAAAAAATTTACCGTTGATTTTTCACTTCAGTTACAGCATGTCTGGTTTTTTTCTTAAACACGTGTTTAAAACCAAAAAAAAATTTTTTTTTTTTTTTTGAGACAGAGGCTCACTCTGTCACCAGGCTGGAGTGCAGTGGCGCCATCTCGGCTCACTGCAGCCTCCATCTCCCAGGTTTAAGTGCCATGACCAAAGTTGCATTTCCAAAGGATGATTCAGAGTGCCCTGCAGAATGAGTTGGATGGGGCACATGTGATGATTTAGGAAGCTTTTATAATAATTCAGAAGCGAGAGGATGGTGGCTTGCACATGGAGGTAGCAAAGAGGAGGGATGTACTTGAGAAAAGTGATTTGTTGAATGTAGAATAACAGGAGTGGCCAAAGACGACATCCTTTCTGAGCACTAGGATGAATGATGGGAACATCGGAGGAGAAATGGGTTTGTGGGAAAAGATGGGGAATTCAGTTTTGGACTTGTATCCTAGGTAACGAGGACATCTTAGGTTGAGTTATCCAGTGTAGAATTGAGCATAAGAGCTCAGAAGAAAGGCCTGGGCTGGAGACAGAAGTTTGAGAATTCTGTTAATTTAGATAACAGTTTGGCTGCATGTAATAGAGATTCAGAATACTAGGTTAGGCTTGGCATGTTGGGTCATGCCTGTAATCCCAACACTTTGGGAGGCTGAGGCAGGAAAATCGCTTGAGACCAGGGGTTAAAGACCAGTCTGGGCAACATGGTATGACCTTGTCTCTATTTTATTTTTTGAGATGGAGTCTCACTGTGTTGCCCCAGCTGGAGTGCAGTGGTGCGATTTTGGCTCACTGCAACCTCTGCGTCCCGCGTTCAAGTGATTCTCCTGTCCTAGCCTCTGAGTAGTTAGGACTACAGGCATGCGCCACTATGCCCGGCTAATTTTTTCGTGTTTTTAGTAGAGACAGGGTTTCACCTTGTTGGTCAGGCTGATCTTGAACTCCTGACCTCAAATGATCTGCCCATCTCAGTATCCCAAAGTGTTGGGATTACAGGTGAGCCACCTTGCCTGGCCCTTGTCTCTATTTTAAAATCAAATTTTAAAAAAATGACAAAAAAATACTAGATTAGAAATGTTCATTCATTGTTTAACAATATCATCTTCCATTTCCTCAGAATAAACCCATTCATTCCCTTTTGCCCTTTAGTGAGATGTTCCTTGTGACCCTTCTTTGGCCTCTGCCAAAGCTCATTTATTTTGTTAGTAGGCATAAGTTATTTTTTCATAGCTGGCCTTTGGCATCAAATTTGTAAAATATTTGCATATTCTAGAGCACCAGTAAAATTCTTCATCATTTTTTTTTTTTTTGAGACGGAGTTTCGCTCTTGTTACCCAGGCTGGAGTGCAATGGTGTGATCTCGGCTCACCGCAGCCTCTGCCTCCTGGGTTCAAGCAATTCTCCTGCCTCAGCCTCCCGAGTAGCTGGGACTACAGGTGCGCGCCACCATGCCCAGCTAATTTTTGTATTTTTAGTAGAGACGGGGCTTCACCATGTTGACCAGGAAGCTCTCAATCTCTTGACCTCGTGATCCACCTGCCTTGGCCTCCCAAAGTGCTGGGATTATAGGCGTGAGCCACCGCGCCCGGCCTCTCTCATCATTTTTGCTCCTCACTCAAGCCACAAATCCAAGGCGAACCTTAAAAATATAAGCTAGGTCCAGGTGTGGTGACTCACACCCGTAATCCCAACACTTTGGGAGGCTGAGGCAAGCAGATCACTTGAATCCAGGAATTCGAAACCAGGCTGGGCAATGTGGTGAAGCCCCGTCTCTGCAAAAAATACAAAAATTAGGCCTAGTGTGGTGGCTCATGCCTGTAATCCCAGCAGTTTTGGAGGCTGAGGTGGCTGGATCATCTGAGGTCAGGAGTTCGATACCAGCCTGACCAACATGGTGGAACCACCTCTCTACTAAAAATACAAAATTAACAGATGTGGTGACGTGTACCTGTAATCCCAGCTACTTGGGAGGCTGAGGCAGGAGAATCACTTGAACCTGGAAGGCGGAGGTTGCAGTGAGCTGAGATCACGCCATTGCACTCCAGCCTGGGCAACAAGAGTGAAACTCCATCTCAAAAAAAAAAAAAAATTAGCTGGGTGTGGTGGCATGCACCTGTAGTCCCAGCTGCGGAGGAGACTAAGGTGGGAGGATGGCTTGAGCCCAGAAGGTGGAGGTTGCAGTGAGCTGAGATCATGTCACTGCACTTCAGCCTGCTGGGCATCAGAGCCAGACCCTGTCTCAAAAAAAAAAAAATTATTCTGAGAGAAGCCAGACACAAGAGATCACATATTGTATGAAATATCCAGAATAGGTAAACCCATAGACATAGAAAGTAGACTAGTAGTTGCCAAGGGGAAGGAAAAGGGAGAAATGGGGAGTACCTGCTAATCAGTACAGGGTTTCTTTTTGAGATGATGAAAATGTTCTAAAATTAGATAATGGGGTTGGCTGCACAACTTTATAAATATACAGTAAAACACTGAGTTAGATGCTTAAAAAGAGTGACATGGATGCCAGGTGTGGTGGCCCACATTTGTAATCCCAGTACTTTGGGAGGCCAACGAGAGAGGATTCCTTGAGCCCAGGAATTTGAGGCTGCAGTGAGCTATGATTGCACCACTGCACTCCAGCCTGGGCAACAGAGTCTCAAAAAAGAAAAAAGAAGAGTGTGACGTGGCATGTGAATTACATCTCGCTATAGCACTTATTTAAAAGGCAGAGAGTGCTGGGCATGGTGGCCACGCCTGGAATTCCATTACTTTGGGTGGCTGAGGGGGTGGATTGCTTGCTCCCAGGAGTTTGAGACCAGCCTAGCAACACAGAGAGATCTCCTCTCTTCAAAATTTAAAAATGAGGCAGAAGGACTACTTAAAACCAGGAGGTCAAGGCTGCAGTGAGCCAGGATTGTGCCACTGCACTCCCACTTGGATGACAGAACAAGACTGCCTCAAAAAAGAATTCCAGTGTCCAACAATCAGGTCTTCACTTCTCTCAACTAACCTTTCTTTCGACATCACAGGTGTGTAGCACCACTTGTTACGGTCTTTTTCCCACTCCCTGCTGCCCCTTTATATATTCATTTCTTCACATTAATTTGCTTCTTTGAGATCTTTTGATCATGGATCACTGAATTGAAATGCTGCATGTGTAGTGCTTACCTGCCATTTTATTTTTTCCCTGGTGCATCCTTTTTTTTTAATTCTTTTTTTTTTTTTTTTTTTTAAAACAGAGTCTTGCTCTTGTCGCCCAGGCTGGAGTGCAATGGTGCGATTTTGGCTCACTACAACTTCTGCCTAGTAGGTTCAAGTGATTCTCCTGCCTCGGCCTCCTGAGTAGCTGCGATTACAGGTGCCCACCACCATGTGCGGCTAATTTTGTATTTTTAGTAGAGATGGGGTTTTATCATGTTGTCCAGGCTGGTCTCAAACTCCTAACCTCAGGTTATCCACCCATCTCAGCCTCCCAAAGTGCTGGGATTATAGGTGTGAGCCACTGTGCCCAGCCCCCTGGTGCATCTTGAGGTAGCTTGAGGACAATCCTAAGTTGCCTGTTTTCCTTTACAGCGGAAGGCAGACAGATTGCTGCCAACATGAGGGGTATTGGGATGATGCCCAATGATATTCCTGAGTGGAAGAAACATGCTTTTGGGGGCAACAAAGCCTCTTATGGGAAAAAGACCCAGATGTCAATCATTGAGCAGAGGGAGAGCCTGCCCATTTACAAACTGAAGGAGCAGTTGGTCCAGGTGAGAAGCCCTTTTATGATGTATTGGTGGGGAGTAGGGTTGTTTTCTAAAAGAGGGATGGCATTTTAAAATTGAAACTAGTGGGACGAGTGTGTGCCTACTTGAAGTGGCTCTTCCAAAAGGGATAAGAAAAAAGGAGAAAACTTGCTTTTTTTTTTTTTAAGATGGGGGGTTTCACCATCATGGCCAGGCTGGTCTTGAATTCCTGACCTCAGGCGATCCACCCACCTCAGCCTCCCAAAGTGCTAGGATCACAGGCATGAGCCACCGCGCCTGGCCAAAGGAGAAAACTTTCTAAATACTTTTTAAAATAATGGGGGCAGGGATGTTAGCTCACACCTATGATCCTAGCACATCGGGAGGCCAAGGCAGAAGGATCACTTGAGCCTAGGAATTTGAAACTAGGCTGGGCAACATAGGGAGACCTCATCTCTATAAAAAATAAAAAATTTACCTGAGTATGGTGGTCCTTGCCTGTAGTCCCAGCTACTCAGGAGGCTGAGATAAGAGGACTGCTTGAGCCTGAGAGGTCAAGGCTGCAATGAACTGCAATCACACCACTGCATTCCATCCTTGGTGACAGAGCGAGACTCTGTATCAAAAATGTGTGTGTGTGTGTGTATACAGACACACATACATATGTATATGTCCATATATTTTCTTTTTTCTGGGGACCCTAGAACAGTTCCAGGTGGGCAGAGTATTGTATTGCATGGACCAATAGCTCTGGTCAGTAATTAAAAATGAAAAAGGCCAGGCATGGTGGTTCACGCCTATAACCCCAGCACTTTGGGAGGCTGAGGCGGGCGGATCACCTGAGGTCGGGAGTTTGAGACCAGCCTGACCAATAGGAAGAAACCCTGTCTCTACTAAAAATACAAAAATATTGGCCGGATGTGGTGGCGCATACCTGTAATCCCAGCTACTTGGGAGGCTGATGTAGGAGAATTACTTTAACCTGAGAGGTGGAGGTCGCAATGAGCGGAGATCATGCCACTGCACTCCAGCCTGGGTGACAGAATGAGACTTCATCTCAAAAAGAAAAAAAAATGCTTTTTTTTAATGTGCCTTGTTATTTGGATCAGCTCTGGTTTATTTAACTAGTCCTGTATGCATAGAAATATAGCTGATTGTAATCCTTGGCTGTTACAAACAATATAGAAATAAGAAATAACTTTTGAGGAAAGATACTAGAAATTTGGGAGTTACAGTGGGAAGGAACACTTTTTATGTGTCTTTTAAATTTATTGTTGACTTCTTTAACCATATGTGTATGTCCCCCTTTTCTTCAGTGTTAGAATATAGTCATTAATTATTTTATTCCAAAGTAGCATGTGGCAAATTTTAATGACCATATTTATATTCTGTTGCTTTAGGCCGTCCATGACAATCAGATCCTGATTGTTATTGGTGAGACAGGATCTGGAAAGACAACACAGATCACCCAGTACCTGGCGGAGGCAGGCTACACTTCCAGGGGCAAGATTGGGTGTACCCAGCCCAGAAGAGTGGCAGCAATGTCAGTAGCCAAAAGGGTGTCGGAGGAGTTTGGTTGTTGCTTAGGCCAAGAGGTAAGTAAATAGTGGAGTCACTCTAAAAATACCAGAAGCAAAGGCCCGGATCTCCTAACCTATCAAATGGAGATATGAATAATACTGCCTTTCTCAGGTTTCTCCTGAGGGAGAGAGGGTTCCCATTGTCATAATTAGTCTGTTCAGGGTATGGTCTAAGACATACCTTACTTGAGGAAATTACTGTACATCTTGATCAAATTCTTAAGATTATGAGTAACAGTGACTGCGCTGAAATCTTGCCTGGTGATTGGGAAAAGGAGACATTTGTATCCTAGGTTTTCCCCTTCCGTTCTGCTTTAGGTGGGCTATACCATTCGATTTGAGGACTGCACTAGCCCTGAAACAGTCATCAAGTACATGACAGATGGGATGTTGCTTAGGGAGTGCTTGATTGACCCTGACCTCACTCAGTATGCAATCATCATGTTGGACGAGGCACATGAGAGGACAATTCACACTGATGTGCTCTTTGGATTGTTGAAAAAGGTAACTAGATGCTCTTTAATGACCCTTCTACTTGTTGGAAACCGAATTCTGGTAGTTGGATTTGAGTACCTGTGTCTTTTTGGGTAGTCCTTTTCAGTAAGCCACGTTATATTTCTCTTTAGACAGTTCAGAAACGGCAGGACATGAAGCTGATTGTCACCTCAGCAACCTTGGATGCAGTGAAGTTTTCTCAATACTTCTATGAAGCTCCCATTTTCACCATCCCAGGTCGAACATATCCAGTGGAAATACTGTACACAAAGGAACCTGAGACAGATTATCTGGATGCCAGCCTGATTACTGTTATGCAGATCCATTTAACAGAGCCACCAGGTAAAGAAAAAGCAGTATTTTTCCTCTTAGGCCAAGAGTCCTCATATGAGTATTTTTTTTTGCTAATTTTTTTAGAAACACCTTCTAAATATTCATCTCTCTGCAAGCCTCGGGCTTGTATGTTTGAAATGGTGGTGGTAGCCGGGCACAGTGGCTCACGCCTGTAATCCCAGCACTTTGGGAGGCCAAGGCAGGTAGATCACAAGGTCAGGAGATTGAGACCATCCTGACCAACATGGTGCAACCCCATCTCTACTTAAAATATAAAAATTAGCCAGATGTGGTGGCAGGTGCCTATAGTCTCAGCTACTCTGGAGGCTGAGGCAGGAGAATCACTTGAACTCGGGAGGTGGAAGTTGCAATGAGCCAAGATGGCGCCACTGCATTCCAGCCACACAGGGAGACTCCATCATACACACCCAAAAAAGAATTGGTGGTGGTTATAATGTCATATTGTCATATAAACAAACTTCTATTGTTTACTTACCGGTCAGAATATGAATGTATATTTTCTGTTATTTGAAGTTTTGTTGATATCACCATAGCCTTTGTATAGAACACACACAAACAGTTAGAAGGTAAATTAATCCTTTATTCTCCTCATAGGTGATATCCTGGTCTTCCTGACTGGTCAGGAAGAGATTGATACTGCTTGCGAGATCCTGTATGAAAGAATGAAATCCCTGGGACCTGATGTTCCAGAGTTAATTATCCTCCCAGTATACTCTGCTCTTCCCAGTGAGATGCAGACCCGAATCTTTGACCCAGCTCCACCAGGCAGCAGAAAGGTAACACAGGCAAAAGGAAGCTCCCATGTGCCCTGAAATCATGTGTTCTGTGCAGCTTGTCATAGTAGGGATTGCTTAGGGTATATGCAAGTCTTGTTTGTTAGGTTTCAGAGACTGGTCCAACCAATTCGTTTAGGAATGAGGGTCTAGTATGTGACCTCTTCTCTTATTCCTCATCTCCTTCATTCAACAAATATTTTTTGAGCATCTACAAGACTTTGGGCTATACATGGGAGCTGCATTACGAGAACAGCCTCTATCTGCTTTGGGGCATCCCCAGTCAACAGACTTTCAGCATATAGTGTGAAAAGGCCATTCCTGCTTGGATACGCAGGTGGGAGCACCCAATCCTGTCTTCTTAGGGGAAATAAGGATCTAAGCTAGTCCTGGAGAGCTCACGAAAGGCAGGGGGACAAGCTTTTTGAAGACACAGAACTGTCCGTGATGGCCTGGAGGCGAGGAAGTGGGGCCAGTTCAGCGAATGGCATAGTTCTGATGGCTGGAACCAAGTATATGACTGTGTGTATGAGACAAAAGGAAAGCAGACAGATGGATATAGGTATATTTTTAATAACAGCTTTATTGAGATGTAATTTACATACCTTTCAATTAACTCCCCCACCGCCTGCTTTTTTTTTTTTGAGACAGGGTCTCTGTCACCTAGTCTGGAGTGCAGAGGTGTGATCTTGGCTCACTGCAACCTTTGCCTCTAAGGCTCAAGTGATCCTTCTGCCTCAGCCTCCTAAGCATGTGGGACTACAGACGTGTGCCACTATTCCTGGCTAATTTTTCTATTTTTTTGTAGAAACACGGTTTCACTCTGTTGCCCAGATTGGAATTTACCCTTTTAAAGAGTACAATTCAACGGCTTTTAGTATACAGTTATTCCATGATATGTGGGGATTGGTTCCAGGATCCCCAAGGATACCAAGATCCAATTATGCTCAAGTCTCTTACATAAAATGCTGTAGTAGTTGCATGTAACCTATGCACATCTTCCTGTATGATACTTTAAACCATCTCGAGATTACCTACAATATCTCATACGGTATAAACGCTATGTAAGTAGCTGTTTTACTGTATTTTTAAATTTGTATTATTTTTTATTGTATTTTTTCCCCAAATCTTTTTAATCTGCTAATGGTTGAATCCACAGATGGGGAACCAGCAGATATAGAGGGCTAACTGTATTCACAGAATTGTGCAGCCATCACCACAATTGTATTTAGAACAATTTTATCTCCCTGAAAAGAAATCCTGTACCCTTTAGCAGTCACCTCCTACCCCCATTTACTCCTCTGCTCAGCCATTGGAAACCTATACTTCCTATCTCTGTGGATTTGCCTATTCTAGACATTTCATATAAATGAAAGCATATATTTGTGGCTGGCTTATTTCCAGTGATTTTTCCAGACTTAGAGTTTGTCAACATTATAGTATGTATCAATACTTCATTTCTTTTTATTGCTGAATACTCTTCTGTTGTATGAGCACAAAAAGTTTTGTTTATCCATTTATCAGTTGATGGACATTGGAGCTGGGCGCAGTGGCTCATGCCTGTGATTTCAGCAGTAAGGGAGGCTGAGGCAGGTGGATCACCTGAGGTCAGGAGTTCAAGACCAGCCTGGCCAACATGGTGAAACCCTGTCTCTACTGAAAATACAAAAATTAGCCGGGTGTAGTGACGGATGCCTATAATCCCAGCTATATGGGAGACTGAGGCAGGAGAATACCCTGAATCCAGGAGGCAGAGGTTGCAGTGAGCTGAGATTGCACTCACTCCAGCCTAGGCAACGAGCAAAACTGTCTCAAAAAAAAGAAAGAAAGAGATAGACATGGGAGTTGTTTCCACTTTTGGGCTATCATGAACAATGCTGCCGTGAACATTTATTTACAAATTTTTGTGCGAACCAGTTGCACTGACTCATGCCTGTGATCCCAGAATTTTTTTTTTTTTTTTTTTTTTGAGACAGAGTCTTGCAGTGGTGCAATCTCAGCTCACTGCAATCTCTGTCTCCCGGGTTCAAGTGATTCTTTTGCCTCAGCCTCCTGAGTAGCTGGGATTATAGCCATGTGCCACAACGCCCGGCTGATTTTTGTGTTTTTGGTAGAGAAGGGGTTTTGCCATGTTGGCCTGGCTGGTCTCAAACTCATGACCCCAGGTAATCCACCTGCCTCTGCCTTCTGAAGTGCTAGGATTACAGGTGTGAGCCACCACACCCAGCCGTTCCCAGCATTTTTAGAGGCCAAGGTGGGACGATCCCTTGAGCCCAGAAGTTTAAGACCAGCCTGGGCAATATGGTTAAGACCCCTATCTCTACAAAAAATAAAAAATAAAAAATTAACCAGGCATGGTGGCATGTGCCTATACTCAAGAGACTGAGGTGGGAGGATCACTTGAGCCCAGGAGGGTGAAGGTGCTGTGAGCTGTGGTCATACCACTGTGCTCCAGCTAGGGATACAGAGCAAACCAGACCCTGTCTCAGAAAACCAAGTTTTTGAGTGGACGTATGTTTTCATTTCTCTTAGGCATATTCCTAAGAGTAGAAGTCAGATGGACTTGGCTGGCGCAGTGGCTCACGCCTGTAATCTCAGTACTTTCAGAGGCTGAGGCGAGCGGATCACAAAGTCAGGAGTTCAGGACTAGCCTGGCCAACATAGTGAAACTCTGTCTCTCCTAAAAATACAAAAATTAGCCGGGCGTGGTGACATATGCTTGTAGACCCAGCTACTGGGGAGGCTGAGACAGAAGAATTGCTTGAACCTGGGAGGCAGAGGTTGCAGTGAGCCGAGATCATGCCATTGCACTCCAGCCTGGGCGACAAGAGCAAAACTCCGTCTCAAAAAAAGAGTTAAAATGGACAAGACTTGGTGGGTATTAGCAGGTAAAGGGGAGAAGGGTGAGGGAAGTCAGGCGTGACTCCAGTTTCTGGCTTGGGCAGCTGGATCGAAGATGGTGCTGAGGAGGGAAACATGGGAGGACAATCAGGCTTGAGTGGAAAGATGGTGAATTTCTCCCCTATTCTATTCCTAATAGTTGGAGTTCTTTCTAAGCAGGGCTTCTGTAGTTCTGTAGCAGGTAGAAGCCTTTCAGGGCCACTAAGGTGCTGGCATGATGCGTGTTATTCCAGTGCCTCCTAGTGATGATTTTTCCAAGCAATTGTGTTTTATTAGCTGAACCTCTGGGTGGAAGAACAGTGACAGTGTCAAGCTGAGACTAATAATCCTCCAGATCACATAGACTGCTACACACACACATAAACTGTGAAATTCCTGTGTCATCTCATGGTTCATTTTATGATCAGTTAAAAAAAGCAGCCTCCCTCTTGTTCCACATACGTATTCCACAGAATACAAGCAGCCCATTCTTCAGTCCGGATGTCTCAGTAGGGGAAAGAAAAATCTTTTGCATTGGCACATGTGATGCCAGGAAATCTCTCCTTTCCCAGGGTGCTAGAAAATTAAAATTGTAGTAATCAACATTGGATCTAGAAAATGAGATATACAGTAGCTATTTGTACCAAATGAGATTGGCTTTGATTGGCCTTAGCTTTTTCCCGTACCTTTCAGGTACCATCTAACTTAACCCTTAAGCTGAAGGTACCTCCCTTCTGCCCGTTGGAGGCTGAGCTGGGATTAAGTGTCATTTTAACCATCCACAGAGGGAGATAGTCACATATTCCTTTGGGAAGATGTCTGGGTTCAGAAGAACTGTTTCATACCTCAGGGCTGAGCTGGGCAGCTCACTGCAGCTTTGCCTCTCTTGCCTGCAGGTTGTGATTGCCACCAATATTGCAGAGACGTCGCTGACTATTGACGGCATCTACTACGTGGTGGACCCAGGATTCGTGAAGCAGAAAGTTTACAATTCCAAGACAGGGATTGACCAGCTTGTGGTGACGCCTATTTCTCAGGTATGGCAGCTTGTATCAACAGTTTTCCTAATAATCCTGGTTAGGGCCTTTCTGAAATTTTTTATGATTATATATTTCAACCTTTATTGTTTTCAAAGATGAACTTTTATGATACTGGGTACTATAATGACATGAGGGAAGGGTTTTTTGTTCTTTGTTTTTGATCTTTTTTTACCTCCAAGTCTGACTGATCCTTGAAGTTTTTAATCTTTAGAATAGTATTTCACCATTAAAATGCCCCCATGAGGCCAGGCACCATGGCTCACACCTATAATCCCAGCACTTTGGAATGCTGAAATGGGAGGATTGCTTGAGCCCAGGAGTTCTAGACTAGCCTGGGAAATATAGCAAGATCCTGCCACCACAAAAAAATAAAAACAAATTAGCCTGACATGGTGGCATGTGCCTGCAGTCCCAGCTGGTTAAGAGTCTAAGGTGGGAGGATCACTTGAGCCCAGGAGTCCGAGGCTGCAGTGAGCTAGGATAGCGCCACTGCACTCCAGCTGGGGTGACAGAGCAAGGCCCTGTCTCTAAAATAATTTCCTGTTTAGGTAGGAAATTACATTTAAAAATGAATTACCTGATCACTTTTTTGAGAGAAGTTTGGCAACAGTATATCCAAAATTTAAAGGTTCATCTCTTTTTTTTTTTTTTTTTTGAGACGGAGTTTCACTCTTGTTACCCAGGCTGGAGTGCAATGGCGCGATCTCGGCTGACCGCAACCTCCGCCTCCTGGGTTCAGGCAATTCTCCTGCCTCAGCCTCCAGAGTAGCTGGGATTACAGGCACGCACCACCATGCCCAGCTAATTTTTTGTATTTTTAGTAGAGACGGGGTTTCACCATGTTGACCAGGATGGTCTCGATCTCTTGACCTCGTGATCCACCCGCCTCGGCCTCCCAAAGTGCTGGGATTACAGGCTTGAGCCACCGCGCCCGGCAAGGTTCATCTCTTTAACCTAACTGTTCTGCTTCTAGGAATAGATCTAAAAGTTAGAAATGATTAAATATATGTCCAAAGGTAATGGAAAATGATGTTCATTGAAGCATTGTTTATATCAGGGGAAACTTGGAAAAAATTCTGAATGTATTCCAAAAGGGAAGTAGTTTAATAAATTATGGTATATTCCTGCCATAGAACGTTGGTGGCATTAACATGGTGGCATGTATCTATCCTTAATGACATAAGCATGTAACTGTAATGTTTTATTTGAAAAAGTGAGCCTACAAAACAGCATGAATGATATAATTCAAGTTTTGTTTAAAAATAGATGGTGTTTCAACCTTAGACTTCTCAGGAAGAAAAAAAAAGATGGTGTGCATTTCTGCAGTGTATGTGTGCCCAAGATTGGAAGCATGTAGTCTAAATGTTAGCAAAGATTATTTCCGGGTGGTGCTGCTAGGTGAAGTGCGTTTTCTTTTATACTTTTTATTTATTTATTTATTTAAGACGGGGTTTCACCATATTGGTCAGGCTGGTTTCGAACTCCGAACCTCAGGTGATCTGCCTGCCTTGGCCTCCCACAGTGCTGGGATTACAGGCGTGAGCCACCGCACTTGGCTTCTTTTATACTTTTATGTAGTCTTTCACAAAAGGTATGTATTACTTTCATAATTTGTAAAAGCCATAAGGCTATTTTTATTTTGAAACTTAAGTAACAATCCTAGCTACCACTTACGGTGTACTTACCAAGTACCAGGTACTGTCCTAGATACGCGCATTGACTCTGTGCATTCTCGCATTGATCCTGTGTGGTAGATATTATTTTCGCAGATGAGGAGCCTGAGGCACAGAGGGGTTAGGTGACTTGCTTAATATCACAGAGCTAGTAGAGCCAAGATTTGAACCTGGGTAACCTGACTCTAGCTTGTGTGCTGTATACCACTTGTCAGGGTGGTGGTCATCAAAAAATTAGTTCTGCGTGCCTTTCCTGATCTGGAGAGAGACATCTATAGAACGCTGTGGAGTCCAGCCACTGTGCGTGATTGCTGCCTGGATTGTGTGCTTAGTTGTCCTTTCATACTCCGTCCTTTGGTTTGGAGCTGGCATAGTAATTTGTAAATCTTGGTACTGTTTGTTACAACAGATGGTTTTGTCAGAAAACGGCCCTCTTCAGATTGCTATTCATTGTTTCCTAGCAACCTATGGCTAAACTACATTAAAAAAAATTTTTTTTTTTTAAACCAGCGTTTTCTTCTCCCAGTACAGAAATAGTATTACATTATTTTTGAAAAATAGAAGAAAAAAAATTTAATTACCCATCATCCTACTACATCCACTGTTGTCATTTTGCTCTTTTTCTTTCCAGTCTTTGTTCATGTTTATTTCTTTCATGGTTACAATTTTAGTAGTCAAATAAGTAGGAAGTTTTGTATTTTTTTTTAGTATTTAGTTTTCCTACTGGAATAATACATGTTCAATATTTGGTAAAGTCTAAAGAAAATAGGCCTCATCTGCAAATCTGTCAGAGTTGGCCACTGTTCACATTTTAGGTTTTTTTCCCTTAGTCATTTCCTTCTAGTAGTTGATATATAAAGACTTTTTACAAAATTAGCATTATATTGTTTTGTAACTTGCATTTTGCATTTAATGTGAGTGAACATTTTCTTCTGTTACTTAACATTGTAAACATGATTTTTATTTTTATTTAATTTTTTTAGAGTCATGGTCAGTCTCTGTTGTTGCCAGGCTGTAGTGCAGTGGCATGATCACAGCTCACTGCAGCCAGCCTCAACCCCCCCAGGCTCAGGTGGTCCTCCTATCTGAGCCTCCTGAATAGCTGGGACTATAGGCATGAGCCACCACACCAAGCTGATTTTTGTATTTTTTATAGAGATAGAGTTTCAACATGTTGCCCCGGCTGGTCCTGGGCTCAGGTGATCTCCCGCCTTGGCCTTCCAAAGTGCTGAGATTATAGGCGTGAGTCACCACACCTGGCCTGCAAACATAATTTTAAAAATGACTGTAAAGTCATTTGATTGATTGACATAATTTATTTATTTCACTTACCTTTTTGGTCATAACTGTGCGGATGTGTTCTGTCATCTTGTTTTATGCTTTCTCTTTTTTTTTTTTTTTTTTTTTTGACAGATTCTTTCTTTTTTTTTCAGGCGGGAGTGCAGTGGTGCAATCTTGGCTCACTGCAACCTCTGCCTCCTGGGTTCAAATGATTCTCCTACCTCAGCCTCCTGAGTAGTTGGGATTACAAGCACACACTACCATGCCTGGCTAATTTTTGTATTTTTAGTAGAGACAGGGTTTCACCGTGCTGGTCAGGCTGGTCTTGAACTCCTGACCTCATGATCTGCCTACCTTGGCTTCCCAAAGTGTTGGGATTACAGGTGTGAGCCACTGCAGCCGGCTGCTTTCTCTTTTATATTGTGCCATACTATTTTGAAAATACATGTCTGAGATCTGTGTAATATTTCTTTCATTAACCCTGCTTATATTGCCTCCCTTGAACAAACGTCCCTGAAGTGCTGAGGATGGAGAGGGAAAGATAAGATCATTGGTAGTCTTGGAAATGGTCCCAAAGGAAGTGAAATCAACCCCATTTCTGATTTTGCCAGTTGCTAATTGTCCCCCTTTTAACAGAGATCCTGGGTAAAGCTGTTAAGCAGTGTTTAACAGATATGTTGCTTTTATATGCCCACCCCTCTAGGCTCAGGCAAAGCAACGAGCTGGCAGAGCTGGGAGAACAGGCCCAGGGAAGTGTTACAGGCTGTATACAGAACGTGCCTACCGAGATGAAATGCTCACCACCAACGTGCCGGAAATCCAGAGAACCAACTTAGCAAGCACGGTGCTGTCACTCAAGGTAGAAATCACTGTCTGGTTAGAATGGGTTGGTGGAAGAGTCTAATCCTGGACTTCATAAATGAATCTCAGTTTTATGAAGCTTGTTAAATACTTTAGTAACCTCATGGAACCAGTCCCTTTGAGTGAAATGCAAATGGCTGTGATAACCACCTCTCATGGCAGGTCTGGGGCTAAGTTGGCATGTCTGCTGTGAACACACATTTTTTTCTTACCGTAACAACTAGCAGGATATTAGGTTGTAAAAGGCTGTAGTTAGGAGCATTTTCTAAAAGGAAATTAGAAAAATATAATCAATGCCAAACTGTGGACAAACACACTTAACCTCAACCCCTTTAGTGTTCAGATCCAATTCTGTTCCTTTAGAACAGAGAAAAAAAACTCCCTCTTCAAAAACTTTGTAAGGGAACTGTCAGCACAGATTTCAGACTGGCTCTCAGGGGCTTGGTTTTCATTCTGAATCATTGTTCTTCCTCTCTCAGTCCCCAGTGAGGACTTCATTCTCTTTTGGCAGGAGGAGCTGTTCGAGTAATTTCCCAGCTGATGGCATTTCCCCCGACACTGATGCTACCCTGGAGCCCTGGCACTTTCTGGTGCAGAGTGCTCTATTGTCATTTATTATTTATTCCCTGTAAGAGAGGCTAACACAGAGCTTCAGAAAGAAAAAAGAAACCTGCTCCAGTCTCTGGAGTGCCAACAGAGAGGCATCTGTGGCTCAGACCTCAGCTCCAAACTGGGTGACTTTGGGCAAGTTTATTTACTTTGCCCTCTGCTCTGTGTTCTTCTCTGAAAAAAGGGCTGTTAATATTATTTGTTGGAGACTGGGCGCAGTGGCTCACGCCTGTAATCCCAGCACTTTGGGAGGCCGAGATAGGCAGATCACCTGAAGTTGGCACTTCGAGACCACCCTGAGCAACATGAAGAAACCCCATCTCTACTAAAAATACAACATTAGATGGACTTAGTGGTGCATGCTTAAAATCCCAACTACTTGGGAGGCTGAGGCAGGAGAATCGCTTGAACCTGGGAGGCGGAGATCGTGGTGAGTTGAGATCATGCCACTGTACTCCAGCCTGGGCAATAAGAGTGAAACTCTGTCTCAAAAAAAAAATAGTATTTGTTGGAAAGATAAGAGAGATAATGTAGGTGAAGATACTTGGCACAGCGCCTAGCTTGATGATTGCTAACATAATTCCTCATAGTTACTATTCACACAATAAGCATGTATTGAACACCTGCTGTGTTTATGGTCACAATCACTTTATGAGAAAGAAATAGAAAGCTTCGGTCCTACCACATCACACTTTATACACACTTGAATCATCATCATTCAGTCGTTTCTTTTATTCATCAAATTAGCTAATAAATGTATTAAACACCTGCTACATGCCAGGCATGTAGATTGCACTGTGTTGTGGTTTTGTGAACATAGTTCTCACCCAGTGTGAACCCTCTGAAAGCAGAGGCCATATCTTGGCCATCTTTATATCCCTCCCACCTAGCATGGTACGAGGTCCCTCATAGATATGTAGTAGAAACGAGGTATGCAAGAGACAGGACAAGCTGGTAGACTATATTGTTATTATTCTTGTAAAATACATAACAACATTTACGATTGTAACCTTTTTAAAGTGTACAATTCAGTGGCATTAAATACATTCACGGTGCTGTGCAACCATCACCAACATCCATTTCCAGAACTTTTTCATTGTCCCAAACAGAAACTCTGTACTCCTTAAACAGTAACTCCCCTCTCTCTGTCACTTGGTAACTACTATTCTACTTTCTACCTCTGTGAATTTGTCTATTCTAGATAACTTCATTTAAGTGGAATCATACAGTATTCTTTTGTATCTGGCTTGTTTCACTTAGAATAATGTTTTCCAGATTTATTCATGTTGTTTTCAAGGTTTATTCATTTCTTTCATTCTTTTCTAAGGGTGACTAGTATTCTGTTGTATGTATATACCACATTTTGTTTATCCATTCTTCAGCAGAAACATTTGGATTGTTTCTCCCTTTTGGCTATTACCAATAATGCTGAGTCTGCTTTCAGTTCTTTTTTCTTTTTCTTTTTTTAAGGAGGAGGCTTGCTCTGTTGCCAGGCTGGAGTGCAATGGCGGAATCTCGGCTTACTGCAACCTCTGCCTCCCGGCTTCAAGCAATTTTCCTGCCTCAGCCTCCCGAGTGGCTGGGACTACAGGCACGTGCCACCATACCTGGCTAATTTTTGTATGTTTAGTAGACATGGGGTGTCACCATATTGGCCAGGCTGGTCTCGAACTCCTGACCTCGTGATCTGCCCCCCTCGGCCTCCCAAAGTGCTGGGATTACAGACGTGAGGCACCGTGCCTGGCCAAGACCAGCCCAGCCAACATGGTAAAACCCTATCACTACTGAAAATACAAAAATTAGCTGGACATGATGGCAGATGCCTGTGATCCCAGCTAGTCGGGATGCTGAGGCAGGAGAATTGCTTGAACCCGGGAGGTTGAGGCTGCATTGAGCTGAGATTGGGCCACTGTACTCCAGCCTGGATGACAGAGTGCGACTCTGTCTCAGGTATGTGCTTTCTATTATAATAGTCTGAGTTTTCTGTGGCCCAGCCCTGGATGTTACATCAGTCTCACTGGTGGCTTCCTAATTGCAATTGAAGAAGTGGGAAATAAAGTAACAAATAGCTTCCCCACATGCTAACACTGGCTAGACCGACCCTCTTATCACCTGCCTTGTTCCTTTCTGTTCTAGGCCATGGGTATCAATGACCTGCTGTCCTTTGATTTCATGGATGCCCCACCAATGGAAACTTTGATCACCGCCATGGAGCAGCTGTATACACTGGGGGCCCTGGACGACGAGGGTCTGCTCACTCGCTTGGGCCGCCGGGTAGGGGACAGACTTAACTTTCTGTGCTTTTGGGAAGATTCCCTGGTCAGCCTTTCACATCCTTTGGTCTGTACAAAATCAAGAGTTGAGACCATGGATAAGCTTTGAGTAGAATTATCAATGCTTGTTTTTTACCTGGATTTCTCCACTATCACTTTAAACTGTTTCGTCTTTATGGAAAAAGGTGTTCACAGTTAATTTTGCCTCAGGATATATTAGTGAGTCTAGCCTTACTTAGAAAAGGCATCTGCAAAATTCTCACCTACCCCAACAGTAGTTATGTGCTTGGTCACATACATCCCTTTGGATTTTATTTGGGAAAAGAATAAACAACAGCATTCTTCTGATAGAGAAAGGCATCCCACAGCATCATTATGCTTTGGGAAAATCTGTGTTGCTACCAAGGTCTTGCTATGGTGAATCCAAAAGTGTCTTCCACAGGGAAGTAGTTGTCGTTTTTCTTTCTCCCTCTAGATGGCAGAGTTTCCTCTGGAGCCAATGCTATGCAAAATGCTCATCATGTCTGTGCATCTGGGCTGCAGTGAGGAAATGCTGACCATTGTATCCATGCTGTCTGTGCAGAACGTCTTCTATAGGCCCAAGGTAGGAAGTTCACATCCAGGTTTAGATGGGGTGCTGTGAAGTTGGGGTAGTTGGCCTGTTGCCATTCCAATGCTGATGTGGAAATTTTTTTTTTTTTGAGATGGAGCCTCACTCCGCCCCCAGGCTGGAGGGCAGTGGCGCAGTCTTGCAGTCTCCGCCTCCCGGGTTCAAGCAATTTTCCTGCCTCAGCCTCCAGAGCAGCTGGGATTACAGGCGTGCACCACCATGCCCTGCTAATTTTTGTATTTTTAGTAGAGATGGGGTTGCACCATGTTGGCCAGGTCTCAAACTCCTGGCCTCAAGTGATCCTCTTGCCTCAGCCTCCCAAAATTCTAGGATTACAGGCCCGAGCCATCATGCCTGGCCTGATGTGGACACTTTCCATAGGGCCTTTTAGGGCTCCCTAGAATTGCTCCATGTTCAGTTAGTAGCTGTTGGGTCGGAAATGATCCTCTGTCCCACTGCTTGGCAGGATAAACAAGCCCTTGCAGATCAGAAGAAGGCCAAATTCCACCAGACTGAAGGGGACCACCTCACCCTGCTAGCTGTGTACAACTCCTGGAAGAATAACAAGTTCTCCAACCCATGGTGCTATGAGAACTTTATCCAGGCTCGTTCCCTGCGCCGGGCCCAGGACATTCGCAAGCAGATGTTAGGCATAATGGACAGGTAGGCCGGAATCTGATGACTCCCCATGTTTGAGTTGAACCATCTTGAGTATCATGTCTGTTCATCTGTGTGTACCTATAAAGCTATAGGCACCTTTTCTCTTGCTCCTCACATAACCCTCTTCCTCCAGCTTTTCCATCTTTGTTATATTCCTTCTCACCAAGCCAGGGTATGGCTGAGAATTACCTCAGAAAGTTCCTAAGGGAAGATTATTTGTCAGTTGTTGAAGAAATGCTCTTTGTTTACAAGCCCCTGGAACATTATTACTCTGGAATTGAATTCGCGTCTAAACAAAATATCTGCCTCTGAGTGCCTCCGTCTGCCCACTGTGTAGAGCTGCCTCTGTAGTACACTTAGGGCTGGAAGGAAGGTCCTAGTGACTACTCTGGGCACCCCAAGATGGGGGTGTTGGGCACTGCCATTGTGGAAAATAAAACCTCTGAAAGCAGAGTGGGGTCACATCTTTTGTCCTATCTTGATAGACACAAGCTGGATGTTGTTTCCTGTGGCAAGTCCACAGTCCGAGTACAGAAGGCCATCTGCAGTGGGTTCTTCCGTAATGCCGCCAAGAAAGACCCACAGGAGGGTTACCGGACGCTGATCGACCAGCAGGTGGTCTACATCCATCCTTCCAGTGCCCTCTTCAACAGACAGCCAGAATGGTAGGTGGACGCGTCCCAGGGTCCCTATTCCCAGTACTTCCTGTTATAACATTGCTTGTATTTCTTGAGCAGCAGAAACCTGAATTAAGCACAACGTATCAAACCCTATGTGAGAATTAAAATCATAGGGGTGAGACCTAGTTGAAAAAAAATTTGTGGTTTAAAAAAACTACCTAGAGATGTAGTTTTAAAGTAACAATTTTTTTTAAAAAAGGACTCTTTCTCTAGAACCCTAATATAAAACTGATTCAAAACCACCATGTTATCACAGTAGAAGGGTTAGAAATGTAGCTTCTTGCCTGTTTGGCCTTCCCCATCCCTTGTGGCAGTGTGTGAGACCCCTCTTCAGGGCCCTAGATTTCTGTGGAAACATTCTAATAAGCCACCCTATAGAGCAAGAAGCAGATTAGAGAAGGGATGTGACTGGCTCCATGTCACTCAACTAGTTAGAGCCAGAGCCAGGACTAGAACACATTCTCCTGAGACCTTTCTTGTGGTTAGAGGTGTGCAGGTGCTTCAGTATTGGGTGTGGCTATCATAAACAGTCTGCAGTCTTGTAGGGGTCAGGCGTGAGAGGTAAGAGGATAAAATGTAAGCTCAGCTGAGGCCTACTAGGGATCAGGTTGACCGTAGAGTGGGACCTGCATCCAAAGGCTTGAGTTCTGTCTCTCTCCCCCCATAGGGTGGTATACCACGAGCTGGTGCTGACCACCAAGGAATACATGCGTGAGGTTACCACCATTGACCCCCGGTGGCTTGTGGAGTTTGCCCCAGCCTTCTTCAAGGTCTCCGACCCAACTAAGCTAAGCAAACAGAAGAAGCAGCAGCGTCTGGAACCCTTGTACAACCGCTATGAGGAACCCAATGCCTGGAGAATATCCCGGGCCTTCCGACGGCGCTGAAAGGCAAGCGTGTTCATTTGCCTCTCCGGCAGCAGTAGCCCGGGGCTTGGACTTATTCTCATTGATGACAGGCTGGTCCTGAGAATACAGCTGTCCTGTGACTGACTGTCTTAACTGGGCATTTTCTCAACTTGACTCTCATTTCTTCCCTGCTAATAAAATAGAAACAGGGATTTAGGCTTGGCTTTGGCAAGAGCCTCCAGCCCCCATCAACCCAAGTCCTTGGGGCCTGTTGGGAGCTCATAGCTAACACGGAGACATTGCATCAACTTCAAGAAAGGGGCAACTTGTGCAGTCCCAGGGTGGGAAAGGAGAGTAGGTGAGTGTCTCGTGCAGGGACATGGGGAGGGCGCTGATGCCCCAGCTGGCAGGAGCTACTGTGCTCGTCTAAAGTGTGTGCCCCAGGGTTTCCCACCCCTTCTCCAGCCCCTGTACTTTGGTTTGACCTCCATGGAAATATTTATTTTCTTAAGGAATCTAAAATGATTTTCTGTGACTGTTTCGTTTAGCTGAAAGGGTAGGATACTGGCCTGGGCACAGGCTGAGGGAGATTTAGCATCTGTGCTCGGGTGCACATGATGAGAATCCCCTAAAACCAGAAGCGCAGGGCCTCTTTGGGCTCAGAAGTGATGTACAGCCCAGACCTCCAGCCTTGTCTTTCAGCATCAGCGGCCGTGCTGGGGGATCACCCCATGATTAACCACGTCCTCTCCACAGAGCACGTCAGTCTGGAGGCCTGAGTGGTTACGGATGCCACGTATTAAACACAGAAGGCCCCCTGCTCCCTCAACCTCCTGCCACATTCACAACATGCAGCATGTCCCATTTCCTTTTGAAACATACTAAGTAACAACGCGGCTTTTATTTTATTTTGTTTTTATTTTTTTCCCCTGAGGTCCTGGATGGACTTTAACAAAGGAATTTTATGGTAAAAACCTCCCTTTTCCCACCCCAAACAGAAAACAAACATAACACCTCTCCTCTCAGCTGGTCTGTGCTGCCTGGAATCTGTGCTCCAGGGCTTGTTCTTGTGGGTTTTTCCTGGCACTTGGTTGGGGAATGGCCACCTCCTTGTGCCCCCCTCACAGCTCCTGAGGAGGCTCTTTTTTTTTTTTTTTTCCCCATAGAGATGGGCTCTCACTATGTTCCCCAGGCTGCTCTCCAATTCCTGGCTTCAGGCAATCCTCCTGCCTCCGCCTCCCAAAGCGCACGGAGGAGGCTCCTTACCTGGAAAAACATCAGGCAGGTCTTGCCAGGCCAGGTTGTGGAACTGGTGGAAAGCTGGTCTGGATGTAGTGCTTGTACAGAAGCCGCTGGGAGATTGGGCACATCCTGTTACGGTGCTGCTTCTCCCATCCTTAGGTTATTAGCAAGTTCTGAAGTGATGTAAATGCTAGAACTACTGTAGAACTATATGCCAGAAACGAAAAGAGACTATACAACATTCCAGGATATAAAGGAATGTATATTGTCACTGGGCAGCAAACCACACCCTAAAGACACAATTCAGAGTCTAAGGGAGAGGAATATAGGCCAGGCAACCTGCTGACTGCTGATCCCTGCCCCTTTGTTAAGCTGAGTGAGTGGCCTCCTGATTCTGTCTTTGTGCCTTCAGTAAGCCCAGGCCAGTCATCAAGGGGCAGGGCATTGTTGTGTGTTAGCCTTGGAGCCTTCTGGGGAGAGACAGAGCAGGGACCTCAAATGAAGCCAAAGGGGAAACGGCAACTGGCATCCACCTCCCCAATCTGGTTTTGTTTTATTTTTTTGAGATAGGGTCTTGAGCCCAGGCTGGCGTCAAACTCCTGGGCTCAAGTTATCCTCCCGCCTCAGCCTCCCCAGTAGCTCAGACTATAGGTGCACACCACCACACCTGTCTCCCAGTCTTAATTCCAGCCTAAATCTTCCCCATTCAGAAATAAACTCCTGGATGTGGTGGCTCAGCCTGTCCCGACAGTGCCCAGCACTGACAGTGTTGGCACCTGGGGAGGGAGGCTTGGGTTTTAAGCTGAGGTTGAAAAGGAATGTTGAATGGGCCAAGGATAATGGCAGCAGGGTAGGTTATCTTTCTGGCTTAGGTGAGGAAAAAAGGATCCCCGTTCTGTGGGTGTTCATTGACCATCTCTACCCTAGAGCTGAGGTCACTTCTCTGCTATGACAGCATAGCTGGGGTCTGACCTTTTGACTATCAGGAAAGCAGTGTGGGGAGCTGAGCTGAGCCTGCTCTGAGGGAGAGGAGGGGGTCCTGTCCAGATGCAGAAGGGGAGCTTGCCTGCTGCTCTCACACAATGGAGCCCTTGTTTCTCTTCATTGAACCAGTATTTCCCAAGATTGAGTGACAGCCCAGGAGAGGATGTGGGTCTCATGCAGAGAGCTGGGATCTTTTTGGCCATTAAAGTATGTTGTTCACCCCAACCCAGCGGGAAGCAGGCTCAGGAGTTGCCTGCCTCTGCACATGTGCTGAGTGCGCTGTTTATGTATATGGGGGGATCGTCCCCATGGGGCATGTGTGAGCTCCGCTGCTGGGTCAGGCTCCTCAGTCCAGGTTTACTTCATCCTGCCGGGACGAGTTGGCTTTGACTGTCTACTGCAGCCCAAAGCACTTCCTCCCCATGGGTGCTATAGCTGTCTCATTGGAGCAGTGCCCCTCCAAGTTTGAGGATTTGAACAAAGAACTGGGACTGGTGACCTGCTAATGAACAGTTCAGAGGGCAGAGGCAATCCTCTCAGCCTGCAGAGACCTCGCTTTCCCTGGATGCTGCTTCTCATCTCAATCCCTCTCTTCATGTGTGTACTCAGCTCTCAGGGTCTCCACCACATTTTTATACCTTCTTCCCACCATGATAGCTTGGCTTTAATGTGGAATTAAATTATATATTTTTAAAAGTTATTTTTAAAATTTATTTTCTGTTTCTTGCTCTAAAGGGTATCAGTACATTGATGTTTTGTGTTTCTAGGAAGCAGTAATGTTGCCTTTTATTTTTGGATGGTGGTTGGGGTGTCCCTCCAAGGGATGGTCTCAGGTTGTTGCTGGGCCAAGGCTGCTGGCAGTTCAGGCATGAACAGAGTTGGGCTGGCCCCAACCTCAGAACAGCTGCAATTTCTGTTTAACACGAGAGCCCCTGTTTGTACCTGAGCCTGTCTCCCGGGCAGTGGTTTACACAGGAGCTGGGTCTGGAAGCACCCACTCTGCCCCTCCCACCTCTTGTCACCCCTACTCAGTCATACTTCCTCCGCAGGTGTCACCATGTTGTCCGCTTTGCCGTTTCTACCCACACCCAAAAAGCTCAGCCTCAGGACTCTGATCTCTCCCAAATTTGGGCAAGGAGAATCTAGGTGTTTCCCACTCCCCCACTCCCCTGAAGATCTAGTCTCCACTGGCCAGAATCCAGGGCCTGCTCTAGCCTCTCCCTATACCATCTGGCCTGGGAGTCTTTCTCCTTTGGCCCATTCTCCAAACAGTTGTCCCCAGCCCCAGCAAAAGTAGCAACCTAGGAGCTGAGGTAGGATGGAGGACATGCAATTGGGGTCTATGTGGGGCAGCAGGGCCAGGGGAAGAGTTAGGATCACAGAAACCAAAAACCAAAACCCTGCCTGAAGAAGTCCCAGGGGGAGAGCCTTGCAACGCAGTGGCCCACCTGCCCCACCCGCAGGGCCAGGGAGACTGCTGCAGGAAGCAGGCTCAAAGTGCACAAGGGACGCCTGTCCAGGTTATCAAGTACCCCTGTCCATTATTTCTGGATCTTCACACAGTAATGCTGGGAAGGGGGAAGAGCAGGTATCATTAAGCCCATTTTTCAGAAGAAAAATAGGTATCTTTTTTCAAATCCACATGGGGATTAAATGTCAGGGCCTGGCCCCAAACCAGTGAGCTCTGCTCCAAGGCCAGAGCTCTTTCCATCCCCAGGTCAGTTTTCACAGGACAGCAAAGAGGACACAGGATAACTAATGGGAGAAGTGGGGCTTTATTAAGGTCTGGTAGATGTGGTGGAGGTGGAAGTGGAAACTGGGCCTAGGAAAGGGCGGAAGAAAGGCAAAGGGCCCCTTGGAGCAGGAACCCATCCCTCTCGGCTTCCACCCAGCACCCCCCATCCCAGGTTCCTCTCTTCAACCTCCCCCTGCCTCCGGAAACACAGAGCACCAAGAACTGACAAGCCGGAACCCACCCGGGGCCACAGCTTGGGGCAGAGTCCAGGCTTCTGTCTCCACGCAGTGGGACGATCTGGGGATCTCAGCGAACCTCCTCTCCCTCATGCCAGTTTAAGTTGGGAAGCGCCTTCTCTGTCCCCCAGAACAGAACAAACTCTTGTTCTCTGTGGTTGGGGAAAAGGTGTAGGGGGCGTGGACACAGGAAGCAGGACCTGGGAAGAAGCTGAGCTGAATTCCCCAGGGCCCAGGTGGAGCCCCCAGGGGAGTTTCTGAGACTCCACCTTTATAGACTTGCCATTTCTCCACTTTTCCTTTCCAGTGACTGGTGAGCAGCTCAGAGTCTGGGCCAGGGCAACTGGTAGGACAGTGGGGATCTGCCCAGAGTCATCTGTGGGTTTCAGATGAAGGTTTCCCCAACACCAAATTCAACTATATGTACGCAGGGCAGCACCCACCTGCGGCAGAGGGAATAGCCGCTGGGGGCTAGTAAGAGTAGCCACCCTTGGGGCCAAACAGCTGGGCAGGGACAGCGAGCTCTGGGAGGTAGGCGGGACTCTCGTCCAAGTGGGACAAAGGGACTGTGTCCTCCTCACTGACCGGCCGGTCAAACTCGGCCTTCAGAGCTGGACGCTGATTGTCCGGGAAGGCCAAAGAGAAGAGGGCCTCGGGCTCACACACAAACTTGTACACGTAACGCTCTCCAGCCACCTATGGGGAGAGAGAAGGGCTAGTCAGCCTGGCTAGCCCCGCAGCCTTGGTATGGGGTAAGGTGGGGGAGTGGGGAATGTAGCCTTCTACCAGTCCAGGCAGATGCTCAGGGCATTTCTCTCCCATGCTGGTTCCCCTGAGAAGCTGACTCTCCCTTCACATTTCTTCCTCCTTTTTCATTTCAATTTCTCCCTGCTTGGGGCTTCTCAGTTCCAGTGTAGCACGTTTTTGGGAGAGGAGAACCTTGGGATTGTGCACAATTTCTTGTCCCTCTGACCGATTCATTATCTGATCCTACAGAGTTGCTGAGAACTGCCCTTCTGACCCTCTCCCCATTAGCTTCCCACAGCCACTGCCCCCACCACCTTGTCCCTGGACCCACAGCTCCCACCTTCTGCATGATGCCTTTCTCATAGTAGTATCGGAGCGAGCGGCTCAGCTTGTCGTAATTCATGGCTGGCCGGTTCTTCTGGATGCCCCAGAGCCTGGCAACCTGGGGACAAAACAGTTTTGGGGTGGACATGCTACCTTGGCAGAGGAAAAAACATGGGGGAAAGGTCAGAAAGAGCACTTGAGATTCTCGGTGCAAAGTTCTACGCCAGCCTGGCAACAAAGCATCAGCGCATAAACTTAGGCTTGGCAAGAATTCCAGTCCGGTAAAGCAAGGATCATGATGGAGGCACATGCCACCATTCCCCAGGTTCTCCCATCTCCAGGCCCTCAACTTTAGAAAGGAGGGCTGGGGATATCTGAGAGGCCCACCTCCTCAGGCTCAATGAGCTTGAACTCCATTCCCCGGCCCGTCCAGGCAATGAAATGGGCATTTGTTGGGTCATCCAGCAGGGCCACCAGAAATTGCCACAGCTGCAGGGCACCCCGGCGCTGGTAGGGTGGCCCCTCTCGAAATGCACCAACCCCTTCCTGCTTGATGTCTCCTGGGGAACATGAAAATAGGAAGTGTGGGGTTTGGGTCTTTTGGTCCCCCAAGCAACTGCCTCCCCTCACCCCAGGGATTTCTCCAAGGGGTCTCCCCAGGCACTTTTCTATGGGTCCCACCCTCTTGCAACCATGAAACGTGATGTGACTCCTTCGGGGACACAGCATGATAAGACCTTGACCCTCCCATGAACAGTCACTTCTCTGACCTTCAAATTTCTCAGGGACAACGCAGACATCATCTGGGAATGGTCGCAGAGTTTTCTCATAGCCATAGCCTTGTGGAGGAAGTTAGGGGTTGCTCAGATTTGGGGGTTCACTGATGAAACTCCACAGTCCAGAGGGACTCCTGGCCAGGGAGACCCTCCCCCATGGCAGCACTCCCTCCCCCAACATGGAGGGCTTGGCAGGGGAAGGGGAACTGCCTTACCCATGGCCCCGTCACCTGGAGAGGGCCCGGGGAAGCCCTCTGTGTGGAGGTACATTGATGCACACCCGGTGAGATCTGTGGGGAAGAAAGGGGAATGTGAGAGGTGGCTAGGGTGGAGCTGGGGGGGAGGGGAGGAGGAAATCCTATCCACATTCAAGAAGTTCTTCCTAGGCCGGCTCGGTGGCTCACGCCTGTAATCCCAGCACTTTGGGAGGCCAAGGTGGGTGGATCACGAGGTCAGGAGTTTGAGACCAGCCTGACCAACATGGTGAATCCCATCTCTACTAAAAATACAAAAAAATTAGCCAGGCGTGGTGGCGCTTGCCTGTAATCCCAGCTACCCAGGAGGCTGAGACAGGAGAATTGCTTGAATCCGGGAGGCGACAATTGTGGTGAGCAGAGATCCCGCCATTGCACTCCAGCCTGGGCAACAGAATGAGACTTAAGTCTCAAAAAAAAAAGTTCTTCCTTCTGGCCTGCTTCCTGGTGACTATTCTTTGCCCAAGTTGCCTGCCAACCACAAAATCCCAGGGGAAGTTCACCCAGAGGGAGTGTGAAGCTGGAGCCCCTCAACTTGAGGGCTGGGGCAGAGGCCATGGAAGGCAGCAGCGGGGGCTGGGCAAGCTGTTCTGTAAGGCCCAAGCTGCCAAGGAGCAGCTGTTTCCTGCGGGTTCAGAGGGAGGAGGGAGGGCGAGATGAACGTCCGGAGAAAGGGTTCGGTGTCCACGCCTGACTCCCTCAGAATGGACAAATGTCCGGTCAGCAGGTCAGATTCCCAGTCCTGTGCGCACGTGTGTGTGTGACTGAAACTGAGAGTGTGTGCCTGCATGCACCTGGGGAAGAGGCAGTGGGCACTGGGCCTTGTTTTTTCAGGTCTAACAGAGCACATTCCACTTCATTTCATTCCATTCCATAGGATAGGAACCTCCCTACTCCACATCGGGGAGGCGGCTGCGTAAAGCCACCCGTTCAAGTTCCAACCCCTTCCCGCCCTCCCCCCACTCCACTCCACTCCCACCTATGAATGAGAAGATGGTGAAACCCGACACCTCAGGGAGGAGGCGGGAGGGTGGGCTCATTCATGCATCCATTTTGTGAATGGAATTCCTGACTCCATTCAGGCGTAGCTGGGGGGAGGGGCAGGAGTTCAAGGGCATGTAACACGATCCCCTCCGGTCTATAGCCTTTGAAGGTCAGCGGCAAGAGTGCCTCCCTCCTCCTCTCCCAGCTCACTGCCAAGCCTGGGTCAGACTTAGGCCCTGGATTTGAGGACAGGAGCACCCATCCGGTTCTCAGTCGGACAGCCTAGGGGTTTGCGGCTCATCCCCCTGCCCCTGAAAGGTTGTGGGCACCACAAAAAGAGAAATTCTAAAGTTCTAGCTGGCTCTGGGCCTACTCTCATAAACTCAGATTTGGGGCTAGTAACAATGTAACAAAAGGCAGGAGAAAAGAAGAAAAGGCAGGGTTTTCTGGGCCCTTCCTGGGACTGGCCCTCCCTCAGCCCTTGGGGCCTTGAACTATAGCTATTTATGAACATAGCTGAGTGCATTTCACTCCAGTCAGCAGTCAGGTGGAACTAGAACTTAAATAAGTTCCTACTTCCAGTGCCCAGCCTCTGGCCAGGGCATACATCAACTGGGAGGCTCAAACAGGATGTGCAAACCACGTATTAACCTGCCAACATGATGAAACTCCGTCTCTACTAAAAATGCAAAAATTAGCCAGCTGTGGTGGTGGGCGCCTGTAATCCCAGCTACTTGGGAGGCTGAGGCATGAGAATCACTTGAACCCAGGTGATGGGGGTTGCAGTGAGCTGAGATCGCACCACTGCACTCCAGCCTGGGCAACAGAGTGAGACTGTCTCAAAACAAACACACGCATCACTGCACTCCAGCCTGGGTGAGTCTCCAGAGGGAGACTCTGTCTCAAAACATGCAAACAAACAAACAAAACACCCTGCACTCCTACTGAGAACTAGAAAGAATGATGAGCCTGGCTAGTTTCAAGTTCATGTTTCTCTTCATTCAAATCCCTTTGTGTTTTTTAACTTCTGTGGGGATAGGGACCAGACACATCCTATTCATCTCTGTATTTCCCAACTCTGCACACTCACGTTCCCATCACAGTAGTTTGGTCTTTGTGGGTAATTAAAACCTCAAACACCTGTTCAATAGAAATAAATGCCTTAACTTTCCTATTAAGTCACAAGCTTCCTGAGGGCAGGATCTACATCCCCCTTTATTTTATGTTTATTTTACTTTTTTATAAACAGACAGGAGATCTCACTTTGTTGCCCAGGCCGGCCTTGAACTAACTCCTGGGCTCAGGCGATCCTCCCACCTTGGCCTCCTAAAGTGCTGGGATTACAGATAAATCACCATGGGGGAGGGCTGTTTATCTTTTAATCTGAATATAGGTTTGCTAATTGAAAATTAACAATAGGCTGGGCATAGTGGCTCACACCTATAATCCCAGCACTTTGGGAGGCGGCCCAGACTGGAAGATCATGAGGTCAGGAGATCAAGACCATCCTGGGTAACAGGGTGAAATCCCATCTTTACTAAAAATACAGAAAAATTAGCCAGGTGTGGTGGCATGCAC